CTTGAAACCTTTCAAGACTATTAAGACTCCTACTGACTCCGTGACATATAACATTCTCTTGTCAATAAACATTTGTTGACAAACTAATATTCAAGAGTTAGTGTAGTTTTTATCAAAACACTTCATAATTGGTCCTAGTTGGTCTTTGTCTTATCCAAGACATCACAACTTTCCTCATTTGAATGTTATAAACCTTCTTATTATTCAATGTCACAATCTTAACTCTAAGACTTGTTTTGGAATGAAGTATGATTGACTTCTTTATTTAACCATTTCTTCAATTCTTGATTCCTCTTCTTAGACATACAATTATACTAAGACTTACTTAGAGGATCAATTGAGATATGGTTCTTAATCATTAAGACCTATCATAAAGCGTAATAAAAGGTACTCTCCCTTCTTCTTAGAATAGAGAAACTTTTATCTTTCTGCCTACTTGATTCTTCTTATTCGTTCTACTTATTGATTTAAACTTCTTACAATCAATTCAGAATTACACTTAATCTTATAAGTATAATCATATTTACTAACCTTTTAGAAAATCATGACGAATATTTTTGTTACCCTTGTGGTGGACTTGATCAACACATAACCTTGTGTACTTGATCTCCTAGTCCTTCACTTGACACTTTGTCAACGAATTAGTCTAATTTCCAAGTGTGAAAGTTTATTCATTTATCATACAATTCTTTTTGTACGATTCCAAATTTCTATCCAATAGAAACTTGGGCGATGAGAAACTTTCCCTATTTGACATTTCCACAAACAACATAATTAAGAATCACATCCATTTGTTGTTAAATATACGATCATTAATTTTTCATAACGATTTCATTGCAAGGAAATAAATAATAAATGAGTCATACCAAAATTTAGTTTATTCATAAAAGCAGCAGAAAACATTTGTCCTTACAATGCAAAATCAACCGAAAAACTATGTAATAAATATTCTCAACAACTCTATCTAAGCTCAAAATCTAATCTTCTAATTCATGCGATCGAGATCCATTTCTTCGTGATTAGACTCGTCTTGCTATTTCATCAAGCTTCCTCTCTTTTCATCGATCCTGCAAAACATTCAAATGCAATCTAATCACATTATGTATTAAGAATCAACGAATAGGAACTTAATCGAGTTAGATAGTGGATTTTACCTGAAGTACATCCATACTCTTGGACTCTTCCATCTTTTGGACTCTTCAGACTCTTAGGGCAGACTTGTATCCAACGCCCTTTCTCTTGGCAGCAAAATGCAGGTCGGTTCTCCTAGAACATTCTCGGAAGCATGGTTGGTTGACTCTCCCAACAAATACGCTCCATTGCTTTGCCGAATCATATCTGATTCAGCAGCAATGAGCATGTAAGTTAGGTCAATGAGGCTTTCGTCATGATCCATCACATAATACTTTCTTTTGAACTCATTGTATGATTCGGGAAGTGACTGTAGAACCCAGTTTACAGCCAACTCATCCGGGAATGACACGCCCAACATCCTCAACCTATCAATGTGTGATTTCATTCCTAGAACGTGGGCACACACGGGTTTACCATCTTCATGTTTCATTTCCAATAGGGCTTTAGTGACATTGAACCTTTCAATTCTTCGATCTTGTGGGTTAGGGAGAACAACGGGAGGAGGAGGAGGAAGTGAAGCACGATCTCTTGTTCCTCAATCGAATCATGGAATATCATCTTCATGTGGAAACCTTGTTCCACGGGATTTGGGAAGACCATAGTTGTCGAACTTTGACATCTACAAAATGGGAGAAAACAAATTCAAGTTAGTTGATCGATTGAATCCTTAATAAATCACCCAAATGATATATTAAGGCTAGGACCCAACACAATACGCTACAACCTAGAAAAGGGATGCCGTAATCTACTTGCAGAATATTTGAAGGTAAGTGAATGACGATTCACTAATTTCCACCATGAAAAACGAAAAAGAAATTTAAGTTTTAAATCTGTGAAAACTCCTAGATCCTTTGAGATTCATTGAAATTTTCAATGGCATGTTTAAATCTCGATATTCCCCTCTTGTTTGTGACTGGGATACCGAGGATCACAAAGTGGGTGTGAATAACCATGCAAACTTACATGGTGCCCTCACATGCTACGATCACCTATTCGATGTGCCGGTAAACCACACACGCTCCACCGAACTATGACAAACATTGAGTCACCCTTTGCTGCCTTTGCTTAGAACCATTTAGTGTGCCGGTAAACCACACACGCTCCACTAACGTCTTCGCAAGGGCACAAAGTGTAATTTCATGGAATTGCATCAATTCACTTTTGCCTAACTAACTAAGATTGAGAATTTGTAAAACATTTAGTTACTTTTGTATTTCATTATACTTATAATGGAAGGTTTTGTCGTATCCTACCCGTTCGGCTAACGACACTCCACTAGTCAAGAGTGCGGTGGGTAAGAGTGGATACCCATTCAATCGCCATTTTATAGGCAATTTCCTTAAACACCCCTTATAGACCAGCTTCGTGAATAAGGCCTACTAACAGTAAGACTGACTTTTACTCATACATATATATAATGTTAGACTTTTAATGTTATATATAGTATAGGGTGTATTTTACACTTTTAAAATACTAGGTGGTAAAATTTAACAATTATACTTTTAATTCAATTAAATTGTAAACCAAAACTTTATGGATTTATTAAATCTCCTTTAATTATACACTTTAATTAATTAATAAAACCATAAGGGTGTGATTTGAACTTTTCAAAACAATACTAGGGTTTAAGAATTTAACATTTCTAAATTCACTTTTAATCAACATTTAAATTCAAAAACTTGAGTGCAAGTTTTGAAACATTTCAAAACATTAGGGTTTTAACTATTTAAATTTCAAAACCAAAACTTTTAAGTTCAAATTTAAATTATAAAACCTAAAGGGGGAAAATTGAAACTTTTCATAACACAAGGATCAAATAACAAATAATATAAATTAAACAATTAATTTCATCATTATCTATATTTGACCTAATTTCAATTTCTTGCAAAATAAGTTACCCAATTAATACAAATAATCAACTTTAATAATATAAGGAAGTTATTATCTAATCAATTGGTAATTATCTTTTGTTTAATCAAGGATATACTCAAAAATATGATTAAAATCGGATTATAATGATTTAGAATAGATAAGGCAATTATCCATGAGTAAAATAGCAAGAAATCCCGAAATCCCCTCTTTCTGACGCTCGAACTCGCCGAGTACCCACATGGACTCGCCGAGTAGGGGCCTACTCGCCGAGTCCACAGTGGGACTCGCCGAGTTCATCAGCTAGATTAGCTAAAAATCGAATTTGCAACTTGAATAAACACATAATGCATCAATACAATAGAAACCAATCTAGGCTCTGATGCCACTGTTGGGTTTTAGTCATAAGAACATCCTATGTGCTTATACAAACCCTAATGCTTCGATCTAGGTTTCTCTATTGTACATGCAATTTATCCAAGACTATAAACCCTAGATCTAGAATATGATAATCAATATAACATAATAATGGGTTTGAGATATTACCTTGATTGTTATGTAGCAATAACAATCACAAATCCTTCTTGTAATGACTTTAGAAAGCTTAGAGTCATAAGTGTCACTCCTCTAATGGTTCACAAACACCAAGAGCAAGAGCATGAAGAGGAGAATAGAAGAAGGCTGCCCAAAACCGTCCAAAACCCTAGAAGGAAGCTTCACCACATTTTTGGGGCTTAAGGGTCCTATATATAGAGAGGTTATTAGGGTTATCTAACAAGGAAAACCTAATTTGCATGCTTAAGCCCTAAGCAACCCATGGACTCCTTTAATTAAAGGCCTTGTAAGATTTCTTATGGGTTTCCCCATAGAATTCGTCCAACCTTATAATATAAGGTAATCCATAACCCAATTGCAATTAATTTATAATTACAATTCCAGTTCCTTAAGTTTAATTAATCTCTTTTAGTCACAAACTTAATTCTTATTAATTCTTGACTAATATTCATTAAACAATATGATTTCTCCTTTAATATATTATTCCCATAATATATTAATAAATCATACTTAATCCTTTCTCGCCATAATTCATCCTATCAAGTTGCTTTGGTGAAGGCAACCCAAAAGGACCATGCACCATCGGGTCAAGTACATGCCAAAATAGTTATGGACATAAACAGTAATCCAACAAAGCTTTGGTTAAGACCTAAACACCAACAAGGTGAGTTTCATGTGAATTTTATGGTTGCTTGCATGAAAAGTTGATTCTAACTTATTTGCAATTATATGTTACTGTTGTTATTGCTATGAATATTTGTGTGAAATTTTGTAATTTAGTTCATATAAAAGGGTGAAAATGGTGGGTGACATATAGGGAACAGGTGTATATACACGGTCTTATTATTAGTCGTCCTACAGGGTTACGCGGCGAAGAGCTTACTCTCTATTTATCTAGCCATAAGCATATTTGTTGTGCCTGGCGGAGGGACTTGTTCCCTGAAAATGACAGTAGTTCCCTAATGTGTCATCAAGGGTGGAAAGAAATGAAAAGAATTATATTGATAAATTGTTGCATTATTTTTATTTTATTGATTTCAATATGCATGAAAACCATGAACTCACTAGGCTCTAGGCTTACCCGTTAGAATCTTTAAATGCATGCAACCCAGGAAATAATGTAGCAAGTGGCAGTGGGAATGGAAAGGATAAAGTTCAGACTTAAAGAAGGCGACAAGTTTTGAGGAAGACGTAGCACACCAAGTGTTTGATTAAATTTCTATTTGCTTCCGCTACTATTATTAATAATTACATTAGTATTTGAATATTGATTTTTGGTTGTTTTGGGACTATGCTAAGTTATTTTGGTATTTGAAATTTGGGGCGTTACAAGTTGGTATCAGAGCCAGGTTTAAGCAGATTAGTCGTTGATTTAACACCTAACCTTAAACGGGAGGAGCGGTACACCGCCTAATCTGGAATGTGTCTCGTTTGTAGGTACTATGAATCGTGGAAAGGCAGTTGTCGATGGTGGGGTGTCAGTTGAGGGTACTAGTGGGTCACGTCCTCACGAGAAGTTGAAGGCCGAGTTAGAGCTCTCTGATTTGGAAGACAGTCTGGAACCAACGACCCCACTCAACCTCTCTGAACGAGATGAAGAAGACGAGGATGTGGAATCCAAGGTGGAGCCCGAAGAAGATCCTGAGGAGGAGCCCGAAGAAGACGCTGATGAGGAACTTGAAGAAGACCCCGAGGAGGAACCCAAGGGAAATCACGTGGAGTACCATGTGGAACAAAGATACGAAACGTTCCATATACCCTATGTGGAGTACACGCCAACTAGTCCTGGTACCTATTGGGAGCGAGTTTATAAAGATGAAATGCCACAGGCACAACTCGAGATTCATAGTTTGAAAAGAAAGATTAAAGAGATAGATGAACATAGGTCAAGGCTCGTACTGGAGAACCAAATAAGGGTTGAGGCTGCTGAGAAAAGTAAACGCAAGATACGAAGGTTGGAATAAGAGGTGTTGTAGCTAAGGAAACCCACTATCACTAAGTTGCGGGAAGGGTTTGTGGCTCGGGCAAAACAAGCCAAGACCACAAATTACGGATTCCTAGATAAGGTGGTTGGAAGAGAACCACCTCAGGCCGAGGTGCTGGTCAGTCAAAGTGGTCCCGGAGATCGAAAAGCTAAAAAGATAAGGAAGTACTTGAAGGAGGGAAAGAGGATATTGAAATATGATGACATCGTTTTTAAAAATTAGAAAGTAGGAGTGCAATGATTTGTCCTTTTTTTTATTATTTCTCTTGGTTGTTGGCTTGAGTGACTTGATGTGAACAAGACATATGTCTATTTTTGAAGCTTTAATAATTTGGAATAAAATTTATGTTTGTTATAATTATTGTGTTATAAACGTAAATATGTAATTGATATGTCTTCATGAAGATCTGGGAGGTTCACTAGGGTCACTCCGGAGGAAGAACGCATCCCAATCGGAGCTTATGTTAGAGCACCAGGAGATGTTCCAGAAACCCCACTGAACCCAAACGCTAGTCGTGGACGGGGCCAAGGAAGAGGTAGGGGAGAGGAAGAGCCCGAGGGGCTGTTAGAGCACCGATACCAGTACAATCGTTCCATGGTAGCTCCGAATCTCACCACGGTCGAGGTCGAGGTTGTAGAAGGGGTTATGCGGCAAACACGATCACTAGAGAGGAGTTGGCTGATGAGATTGCTCGAGCAATTCGAGACACCTTACCAGATGTAGTTGCTCAGGCACGAGAAGCAATTATGGGTGAGTATGAAGGTAACTTGGGTGGAGGTCAAGAGGACTACAAGTACAGTACACCAAATATGAGTCGTGAACCAAGTATTGCACAACCCACAAGGCATCATGGCAACCACGATCGGTGGGGTTGTAGTTACAAGATGTTCATGATCTGCAACCCACCCATTTTTAACAGAGAAATTGATCCCGTTTTGTCATCAATATGGATCATGGAGATTGAGGGAACGTTCAATACTAGCAAGTGTGCGGATAAGGACAAGGTGATTTAGGCTACAACAATGCTAAAAACAGAGGCAATACATTGGTGAGGCATGGTAAAGGAGGTGAGGGGGCATGAGGTAGCCAAGAATATGTCATGGGATGAGTTCCTAAGAATTTTTAAAGAAAATTTTTGCCCTCGTACAACGGTTAAACAGTTGGAGGAAGAATTCTTGAGGTTGGAACAGGGGAATATGACTGTGAGAGAGTACACCACTAAGTTCACGAAGAAACCTAGGTTTGCTGAATTTTACGTTTCTACAGAAGAAAGAAGGATGGAACGCTATATATGGGGATTGAGAACAGCTATCAGTGAATTTGTGCAAATTCAAAAACTGGGTACTTTCCAGTCTACTGTTGATGCTGTAGAAGGTCGCGAATGTGAGAAGAATTGTCAAGGTGAAGACAGGGCTTTGGGGAAAAGAAAATGGGATGGTACGAATAATGATTCGAAGAAAGGCAAGATTTCAGGGCAAGAATGTAAGGTTGATCAAAGCTCTGGAGTAAAGCAATGTCTGAAATGCAACCGTTATCATAAGGGGGAGTGTAACATGAATCAGAAAGTTTGCTACAAGTATGGGAAGCCAGGGCACATAACCACAGAATGTAAGACAATAAGTGTATGTTACGGGTGTGGTTCCCCCAACCACATTAAGTCGGAATGTCCCCAGAGTAAAGGTAACAACAATCAAGGCAGGATAACAGACAATCGGTCGATGGATAAAAAGGCTGACACTTGAAGACCAAAAGCTAGAGCTTTTCGCATGAAGGATCAGGAGGCTCAGGAGACCCCGGATGTGGTGACGGGTACTTTCCTAGTAAACTCAATTCATGCTAGGGTGTTATTTGATTCTGGTGCAAATAGATCTTTTTTGTCTACTACTTTTTGCAAAAACCTGGGTAGAAATGCAAAGTCTCTAGAACATGCCTTAGAAATTGAAACTACTGATGATCATTGGGTAGTAGTAAGAGAGGAATATGATGATTACTCTATCGAAATAGAAGGTAGTGTGCTACCGTTAAAATTATTACCTATAGCCCTAGGTGATTTTGATATTGTTATAGGGATGGATTGGTTGTCGAAAAACCAAGCGATTATAGATTGTGAAAATAGGATTGTTCAAGTTTGGGTGCCAGAAAAAGGAATGGTAAAGATTTACGGTGATCGGCGAGTTAACGACTCTATTTTGATATCAGTGACTAAGGCAACTCGTGTGACAACCGTCAAATTCTAGTCAATTCGAAGTCAAATAAAGTCAACAAGTCAAACCGGTCAGCTCAACTAACCCTTGTGTACTTGGGCTTACGTTCAGCATTTACTAAACAACTCGCTATTCTGATAAGAAAACATAAATCGAAAAGTACGTGCAACTAGATCTCTTTAACCTAAAAGCTGCGGTAAGTGGCAAGCCAAACCGATAAAACAATGATGCTTACTCATCGGGAGTGTGTAAGATCCTTAAACAAGGCTTAACAGGGTTTACGAACCATGCATTGCGATGCCGGACACTCACAACTGTCCCACACGGAACCTCTCTCAATCGTTTTCACTCTATCTCTCAATGTCAAATCTCTCCCAAATCTCTCCAAGTATGTGAAATCTCTCTCAAATATCTCTCTGTATGAGAAATCTCTCCAAGAATGTCAAATCTCTCCCAAATCTCTCCAAGTATGTGAAATCTCTCTCAAATATCTCTCTGTATGAGAAATCTCTCCAAGAATGTCAAATCTCTCCCAAATCTCTCCAAGTATGTGAAATCTCTCTCAAATATCTCTCTGTATGAGAAATCTCTCCAAGAATATCAAATCTCTCCCAAATCTCTCCAAGTATGTGAAACCTCTCTCAAATATCTCTTTGTATGAGAAATCTCTCCAAGAATGCCAAATCTCTCCCAAATCTCTCCAAGTGTGAGAAATCTCTCCCAAATCTCTCTCAAAATCTTCCCGTAACTTTTTGGAATCATTCGGGTCATTCCGACCCTTAACCGGGTCAAAAACGGCTCAAAACGAGGCGAAAACGAGAAAAATTGGCTTTAGGAACCGAAACCAAGAGAGAAGCCTCTTAGGACCCGAAGGTCCTCTTAGAGACCAAGAGCAAGGAGTAGCCGAACCCTCCTGAGCCGAAGGTCCTCTCAGGACCGAACCTCGCCCAGGAGGAAACGAACCCGAGAGCAAGAACCGAAACCGAGAGCAAGAAACCGAACCGAATGTACTGTTCATCTGCCGAACCGAAGGTACTGTTCACCAAGCCGAACCGAAAGTGTTGTTCATCAACCGAACCGAAGGTACTGTTCACTACTGTTCACTACAGTTCGTTCGGTTCTGACCTTCTCGCCTTCTATCTCCGAACCGAGCCTCGGTTCTCGGTCACCCCCTCTGTCTCGCGCCCTCTGTTCTTTCCTTCCCCCTCTCGGTTCCTTCCCTCTTCCTTCTTCCCTCTCGGTTCTGCCTCCCTCTCTCTCTCGGTTCAGCACCAGAAGGCCGAGCCTCGGCCAGATTTCGCATATTTGCCACTTTTAGCCCATTTTTGATATTTTTAACATTTTAAGCCCGTTTTTCATGATTTTAAAGCGGGATTTTCTCCAGAAATTATATTTTAACATAATAAACTCTAAATATTCATAATTTAAACATATTTTGATGAAAATCATTATTTAAATAATAAAAATCAAATTGGTGAATTATTAAAGGTGGAGTGTTGACTTTGCCTTATCCAATGTCACAAGCAACCACCCCACACCCACTCTTTGACTAACCACACCTCCCCACCTTACCTAGGTCACATCAATGTCTTTTCCACTCAATTATCCCTCTTTCCCACGTTTTTGAGGGCTGAATATTCATCCTCTCTCCTCACTTCTCTCATTTGCTCTCATTTCACAAGAAGATCAAACTCTTTCCTCTCTCACTTTCTCTCTCTAGAAATTCGAGATTCAAGGGCTGATCTTGAGTTTTTCCTCCACATTTGGTAAGCATAATCCATTCTCTTTATGATTATCTCACTTATTTCCACTCAAATCATGGATATCTTAAACAAACTCTCTCATAATTGTGTTAGATCTTCGAATCTTCAAGTGAATCTTCAAGTGTTCTTGGGTTGAACACTTCTCTTCTTCAACACTTATCTACTGAAATCACTCAAGGTGAGTTCATACCCCTACATTTTCATGTTTTCTCAAGTTTTTAAGGGGGGAATACAAGTTAAAACACTAAGAACATAACTAAATTTCTCTAACAGCCTTCATCAGAAAAGTTCAACTCCATTCACGGACTGTTTTGGGCATCTTAAACATTTTTGTTTTCAAAACTGTACAAGGTGCAAATATTTCAAGTTCTTAGCTTTAAAATGGCTACTTGCACATCTCCATACGATTTTTCTACAATTTATGGTGATTTTTACAAAACTGCCTATCATTTCAAACAACAATCCGGACCAGTCTGTGATTTTGGACTTTTTCACCCAAGTTGGAGGTCATTAAAAATTGTGATAAAAATTATGAGTAAACTAGAAACATTTTGTGAACTCTCAGAATTTACGGATCTAGTTTTTGACTTCGTATGATTTTTCTATGATTTTTCCAAAACAGGACAGAATTGCTAAATTTTGCCAACAGCATGTAAATATCATAACACTTTGTATTATGTTGAGCAAAGTGTGTAATCATAAGTTCTAATTTGTGAATGTGTTTCTTTGCTAGTTTATCATTATGAACTGAAACTAAGTCATTCATATTAAATATTATTCATTCATTTTGAAACACGTATTATTTAACTATAAAAAGTATAGTTGATAAATTCACAACACTAATACATTTCCATAAAAGAGTTCATACATATTACATACATTTTAGATAAACTATAATAGGTATAGTTTATGATACATCACTCTACGCACTCGTACAAGAAGGGTACATTCATACAAGAAATATTTATATTCACAACACTAATACATTTCCATAAAAGAGTTCATACATATTACATACATTTTAGATAAACTATAATAGGTATAGTTTATGATACATCACTCTACGCACTCGTACAAGAAGGGTACATTCATACAAGAAATATTTATATTCACACACATTTCACGTAAACTTTTTACCCTATATTGTGAGACTCTCTCTCTCTCTCTCTCCCCGTACGTCCGAGTGCGGGATATAATTCCTGGTAGTTATAATCAGAATCTCCTTGAGGGAGAACGTGATACTTGTATATAGATCTATATTGGGATTGACACCCCACACCTTGCTGCTAGCTACAGTTGGACCTGCAGGTCTACGGGTGACAAATGTCATTTCATTTTTCGCGACACTGAGAACGTCGTGGCAGGTTCACATAGTCATAGTATGATTATAACGACTCACATAGGAATATACCAATCCATAAGTTTACGGGATTTTATTTTTAAAACCTAAATGAGTTTTACGTCGATTTAAAATCACCTTTTTATCTCTATGGGTACAAATACAAAGTGCCGAGTCTCTATACAAAGTTATTATGATATTAAAACTATACTTCCTCTAGAATTGTTAGACTTCAACTATAGTCGCTGAGCGTATATGTTTGAGTCATATAAGAATTTAGTCTTGGTTGGCCTAGAATTGGTGGTGCCCGCCTCATCTCCTGTTCCTCGTTGGGTTGTGGACCTAGGGCAGACCCACTATATTCAACGTTTTATCTAATTTAAACCTTATATAACTTTTATACGCTGGACGATTATA